AACCAAGGCAATACTGAGCAAAAAAGAGCAACACTGGAAGTATCACAATACCCGACTCCATACTATACTACAGAGCCATAGCAATAAAAAACAGTATGGTACTGGCACAAAAACAGCTATGAAGACCAGTAGAACAGAATAGAGGACCCAGATGTGAACCCACACAGCTATGCCCACCTTATTTTTGAGAAAGGTGTTGAAAACATACGATGGAGCAAAGACAGCCTGTCCAACAAATGTTGCTGGGAAAAGTGGTTATCTGCCTATAGAAAACTGAAACTGATACTAGTACAGGGTGATAGGTCTCACCCTGTACTAGTATCAACTCAAAGTAGATTGAGGACCATAATATCAGACCTGACACCTTGCAGTTAGTATGGAAAGAGCAGGGAATACTCTGGAAGCAGTAGGTATAGGCAAGGACTTCCTTAGTAAAACTCAAGTGGCCCAGGATCTAAGACAAAGTTTGGACAAATGGGACTACATAAAATTAAAAAGCTTCTGCACAAGAAAAGAAATGGTCTCTAAATTGAAAAGAGAGAGTGGGAGAAAATGTTTGCTAGCTGTATATACATCAGATAAAGGACTGATAACAAGATTATACAGGGAGCTCAAAAAACTAAATTCTCCAAAAATCAATGAACCAATAAAAAAGTTGGCAACTGAACTAGCCAGAACTTTTCAAAGGAAGAAGTCCAAATGGCCAAAAACACATGAAAAAAATGTTCATCATCCCTGGCCATAAAGGAAATGCAAATCAACACCACACTAAGATTCTACTTCACTCCTATTAAAATAGCTACTATCAAGAACACCACCAACAACAAATGTTGGTGAGGATGTAGGATAAAAGGAACCCTCATACACTGCTGTCATATGATCCAGCAATACAACTCCTAGGGATATACCTGAAGGAATGTGACTCAGGTTACTACAAAGGCACCTACACACCCATGTTTATTGTAGCACTATTCACAATAGCCAAGTTATGGAAACAGCCAAGATGCCCCACTACTGATGAATGGACTAAAAAAATGTGGTATTTATACATAATGGAATTTTATTCAGCCACAAAGAATGAAATTTTTTCATTTGCAGGTAAATGGATGGAACTAGAGAACATTGTCTTAAGAGAAGTTAGCCAGGCTCAGAAGGTCAAAAATCGTATGTTTTCTCTCATATGAGGATTATAAACCTAAAACAAATGCAATAATATTATTGGACATGGGTCATACACTAAAGGGAGAATGTGCACAGGAGGAATAGGGAGACAGAAGAAACCTTAAACTTGAATGTGGTTGATGTGCTCACTGTAAAGGAGTGAATATAGTAGTCTTAAACTGGCAGAGGCCACTGTGGGAAGGGAACTAGGAAGTCATGAAGAGGTTTGGCAGAGATGAACCAATTAAGGTTGTAATACACATGTGCATGAAAGCAATGCTAAGAATCTCCCTGTATAGGGAGATATTTATCTTGAACTAGCAAAAACTCTATGTCTTTCTTATTATCTCGTATGTTTTCTCTTCCACAAAATCAGAGCAAGAGGTGGAACAGGTTCTGCCTGGAAGTGGTGTATAAAAATAATGTGTACATATGGGAGTCAATGTAAAAATGATAAAATAAAAAAAGAAAAATTTTTGTAATCCCCAGAGAATATTGAAAGAGTAAAAATAAAATGTTAACTAACCTATACTATTTGGAAGTGTTCAATCATCAGCATATATATTCTTTGAATGCCTTACCATTTTTACCCATTGTTACTAATTACAGTGACTGTGTTGTACAATCGATTGTTTGAATTTATTTTTCCTATCTAATTGAAATTTTGTGTCTTTGAATGGTTTTCCTTTCATTCTGAAAATTATTGTAATTATCATCAGCAAAATATTATCTTTAATACTAATTCTTTATATTCATTAGTGACCCATCTTTGCCCTAAAAACACAGGTAAGAGATCAGCTAAACTTTATCTAAGGTCATTTTATATTAATTTCTTGAAAAACAGGTATGAGGATTTGTTGCTACATTGCTTAGTAATGTTAAATGAAGTATCCATATAAATTAATTTTCTGTGTCTGAGGCCAAACCTTTTGAATTTAACTGTTTTTGAAGTGACTCTTCAAAAATGTTACATATTTCTGTGCTTACTCAGGAAGGTAGCGATCTCGTGTCTCAATGTCAGTAATCATTTTAGGTAGTCACTTCATTGTCATGAAAAAACAGTGATAGGTACTTTGGCTCTAGCAGATAAGGGCTGTGACAAAATACTGTGATTTAGATGTTTTCATACTCTAAAAAAAGTGTTATACCTCATACTTTTCCATAAGTATCTGCTGGTCATAGGTATTGCATCTATTTTTAATTTGAGTTTGCTGATCTATAGCCTCAAACACAGATAAGAGCTAGTACCTACTGAGTTCTTACTATGTGCTAGACTTCATTCTAAGTGTTTGCTCATTTAATCCTCCTAACATTCCAAACAAGTGGGTACCATTACTATCTACATTTTGACATGAAAAAACTGAAGTACAGAGTGATACAGTATTTGCCCAAAGTCATATGACTTACAGGAGCACAGCAGGGATGTGAAATCAGACTCCTCATTCTTCAGTTCATGATCTTGACTCTCATACTATCTATACTGTAGTCTATATAAATGCTTCTTAAAATTACACATAAACTTAAGGGAGATTGTGCCTGAGTGGAATTCTTTGTAATATATTTGAACTTCGGTGGATTGTCTTTGTGGCATGTATTTTGATTTCCCACAGATTATTTGTGTATGTCTATGTGTGTTCATATTTCTTGCGTCTATATCAATCAGGTAAGATAGCCAGAGATGTGACTTTATTAAACCATTGTTATATACTATAAAATCTTAAATATTTTAATTTCACTTTTGATAAAATTTATGAACTTTTACTGATCTTTTGCTGTTAATTTTTATTACATGGTATATTAGGAAAAAATTTTCTGATTACTGTTACATGATTTTAAAAATTTCTCTAGAATAGTATCTTATTGGGGTAGAGTTATCAATATCTTTGGAAATTAAAGAACTATTTATGATTATTTCCTCCATAGTATATGCCTTTTAACTACTGATTAGATAGCGTTGTTTTCCTTGGCTTAGTGAGTTCTTTGGGAAATCCAGACAAAAACACAAGGAGGCAGTAATTTAAATATGTATGATTCCCTTCTGTTCAGGTAGCTGCCTCTATAGGATAAGGGCCAAGTCACTTTTACTGGAAACTCCGAATAAAAGCTTTCAAAGTCAAGTTGTTTTTGGAAAGTAATTTTTCAAGGCTGCCTCACATTTCTCCATCATGAGAGCAGAGGCACTGGACACCTTTGTTCTGACATTTCAAGGGGTGTGTGTACAGAAGACAGCCTTGAGATAGTGTCTTCATTCATGGAAAATGACAGGTTTGTATACTGTCCGGTGTAGTAAAGATAATTCTTCTCCTCAAAGTAAAAGACAGGTGCCTTTGCTGCCAATTATGAAACATTAGGGTTCTTTATAAGTTTGAGCTTCTCCCATAATCCAACCCACAGTATGTACAGATATCATCTGTCCTTCATGTTATCCTTGAAACTTAAGGAACTTAATATATTCTCTGACAGTTGCTTTTACTACAAGTAATATAGTCCCTTGTCTCTATCTTCTGCCAGAAGAATCCATGGAATTGTGACAAGCTAATTTGTTTGCTTCCAAGTAGAGTAAAATCTCAGACTCTTCAAGGTTCTTGCAATTTTTTATAAAGTATCTCCCCAGATTGTCACCTTAATTTACTATTAGTTTCCCTTTTGAATAGTGAATTATCATTTCGTTGCTTTGGGTTTACTAGAAATAAGGAATCAAATTTGGTCATCTGAGATACTGGTTTTTAAAGCTAAGGCAGGGCTGGTGGAGTGGCTCAAGCAGTAGAGTGCCTGCCTAACAAGTGTGAGGCCCTGAGTTCAAACCCACATGTCTCCAGAAAGAACGAAGGAAGGAAGGAGGGAGGAAGGAAGAGAAGGAGGGAAGGAAAGTATTTGGATGCATTGGTCCCTCAAGAAGGTGACATGACAGTTGTTCTTTGGAGTTTACCTTCTTTTTTTTCTTCCTTCCCCGTTTTTCTTTGTTATAATTTTTCCTTCTAATTTTTCCCTCTCTTCTTCCTCTTTTCTATCTACCATAGAAACTCCTTAGCCTTTTGTACATGAAACTAAGCACAAATAAAAACTTTTCTGTTTTTATTTCTTAAGTCACATGTGTCTGACCTGTTTAGGAGCTAAATATATGTTTCAGACCTTACCTAGTAGAACTAGATACTGGGTCATGGCAATAACTCCCCCATGTATATTTTTGCTATAAGCAGTGAATAGAGGTGGGAGAAGGGAGTAGGTTGATTTCTACTCATTACTATGTTTCAGCAGCAGACTAGGGAATATTCCTGATCCTTGGGCAAAAATCTTTGACCAAGTGAGCTATAATTCAACAGTGGATGCAAATAATAATAATAATAATTTTGTAAAATTTTGGATCAGTATAGATCAGATGCCTAGACTAGCCTCATGTCTTTTGGTGTTTATTAAATTTCACTGGACTATATCTACCTCCATTCATTTACATACTACCTGTGGCTGCTTTCATATTATAGTGACAGAAATTGTACTTCCAACAGAGATCATATGGCCTATAAAGCCTACAATATTTACTATGTAATGCTTTACTTACACAAAAAGTTATTTGCCATCCCCTTCTCTGAGTGTTGACTTTTATGCCTTCAAGTCTCAATTTCTGGATGTATTTAAAACCAAATAAGGGGTAGCCTGGTCCAGATCAGCTAGGCAGGTTTATCAAAAGGTACATACTACTCTCCTCCATCTTTTCATAAACTTTCCCTATTGAGTCACTGTCTTAAACCTTATGACTTTAACTGACCCAAATATTTGTTTTCACTATTTTTGATACTCTGTGACATATCCAAAGTAATTTTATGTCTTTTCTTTAACAGGGTTGTGGAAAGAAAATGTATTCCTTTTTGAGAGGAACCAAACAATTACAAGTACTAAGGTTTCTGGGGATCTCCATTGGCGTGACACAAATCCTGGCTATGATTCTCACCATTACTCTGCTCTGGGCTCTGTATTATGATAGAAGGGAACCTGGGACAGAACAAATGATGTCCCTGAAGAATGATACTTCTCAACACCTGTCATGTCACTCAGTAGAACTGTTGAAACCAAGCCTTTCGAGGATTTTTGAACACACATCTATGGCAAACAGCTTTAATACACACTTTGAAATGGAAGAATTATAAAGAATGTCAAAGAAGGAACCACAAACTTGTTTTTATGGGACTTGTGAATTTTTGAGCACATATCTGTCTGTTTCAGAAATTTATTGGCATAAAATTACTGCCATAAAAGAATTCCTGGGCGTATAATTTTCTAGTCTTTAAAACAAAGAGGGATAAGTTTCATATGTCACCACCCAGACAATAATTGATGATTTTTATAATGCTGAGAACAGATATAATATCCACTTTACAGCTTGCGTAAGATTCTTCTGAGCAGTTATGTTTTGAAGTGGTGTGGCTTGATCAGCATTTCTTCATTCGTGTAAATGGGTCACATATGTAAGATTTGAGCTATAGAAAAGATTGATTTACATCTACCAACTAGTATCTAAACTACCAATCAACTGCTAACATAGAAAGTTAAGACAGTACTAATGACTTAATACTTGGCATATATTGTGTTGAGGGTGGCTAGATTATACACAATTATATAAGAAAAACTTTCAAGTTTGGTTACTACCTAAATGTGACTTTTGTTGATTACTAAAATAATTCTTACTACTTCTGAGAGCAAACTAACACATTGTCTTAAACTGATCAGGGATATATTTGTATATAAGTCTGTGCTAAGTCTGTATAATTCAGTAGATTTCAGTTCTTTCAGTGTTAAGAATAACAGTTGTGAAAAAGGATAAATTTTTCTGTGTAGCACCATTATTTTTAGGCTTTCTTGATAATAGAGATTTTAAATTCTGTCTTGGTCTGTATTACATCATAACTGTTAATTTAAATACTTAACTACTAAAATTACCAGTGTGATAAATAGGAATCATTATAATTCTCAATGTAGTCTAGTCTCTAGGAAGTATTAACAAGAAAATTTACACATAACTTCAGCAAAACTTGGATGTCATTTTTTCCCAAGGGAGGACTTTTTGATAATAAATGCCTTTTAAAAGAGCTTGTAATTGCCTTTTCCAAACAAGAAGCAACAGTGTCCAAGTCAATATAATTCTACAGAGAATAGTTTTCTTTTTCTCCAAAAAAATGCTTGTGAGAATCATTAAAGTAAGTGACAATTTAACTAGAGATTATCTTTGCTTTATTTCACTGACTAATATACTGTGGTGAATTACACAGATTATTGAATTTTTTACAAAAGTAAAATATATTTATTTGAAATGGGAAAAGTGCATTTTACTGTATTTTGTGTATTATGTTTATTTCTCAGATTATGGAAAGGAAATTGAAATGAGTGTCAATAAATATTTTCATGAGATTAACACTTTGAGCCTATTTTTATACTTTACAAGCACCTTTACCACTAGAAAGAGTATCAGCAGGGGATATGAGAAAGATTGGTTCCAAACTCTGGAACTCTGGAGTTTATGCAAGTGTATCTTCACCGAGAAGAGAGAAAAGATGACTGCTTATTTTTCAACCTTGCTTTTTAAGTGAAAAATAATGTAGCTTGGTATAATATAAAAATATGTCTACTTATGTTAATGTACCTTATTGAAGTTTTTATATCCCAGGTTTTTATGTTTATTATTAATTTTTAAAAGAAAATGAATCTAACTAGGTATGGTGATGCATATCTGTAGTCTCAGCTACTTAGAGGCTGAGGCAAGAGGATCATTTGAACCTAGGAGTTCTAGGCCAATGAAAGAGAGAGAGAAAAGAAAGAAGTAGAAGAAAGGAAAGAAGAAAAAAGAAAGGAAGAAAGAAAGGCAATCACCCTAAGCAATGCAATATTTGAAGTTAACTGGCATATTTAAAATTTTCCAAAGGTGTAAATGAAAGCTAAGTGAATTGCTTGCTCAATCAGAACCCAAAGAACCCCCTTTTATAACACCCCACCTTCCTAGAGTTTCACCTGTAATACCCAAGCAGCTGAGATAGCTATGAGTTTTATTTGAATTGTTTGGACAAGGGTCAAATTTGGTTGTGTTTCTCTTGATGTGTCTCATAGTCATACAAAGAACAAGCTTATATTAAGATTAGTTTTTTTAAAAGTCCACAAATTATAAAAGCTGAATTCCACATTTTCAGACTAGATATTTGGATATATTACCAGATTTACTACTCTCTAGAATAGTCACCATAAATTTAAACAGTCATCTTATATATAATACATTTGCTTAATGGGAACAAATGACATTTATAGCAGTGGTCCACAAAGGCCTCTTATGGTAGCAGTGCACCTGGAATAATAAAACTGCAAGGAACTTTAAAAAGTGTATTTAATGCTGTTGAGCTGAGGGAGTCCATTGTTTGGGTATAGTGCAAACAAAACTGTTAACTGTGTCTTTGGGAATTTTTGAAAGCTTTCTTTGGTAAAATCATGATTTTTAAAGTCAAAATATAAGATGATTATTTTTAGACTGGTTAAGAGGCAATTCACAGTGCCCTGGAGACATAGAGATGGCAATTAGGGATGATGTCTGTTTTTAAGCCCTGTAAAATCTGTGTTAGAGATGCTTGTGATAACCACAGGAAAAGAAAATAAAGAACACGTGAGCAGGGACATACGTGGAAGAAGAGACTGAGGAAAGTGGAATTAAGCAGTTACACCAAGAAATTGACCTTCAAGCTGAGTGTGGAAGGAGGCGTAGAGCTTAGCTAGCTCATGGAGAACATTCCATGAGCCGTGACTCTGAGGTAAAAATAGTGTACATTATGTTGGGGACATGACCTGCAGGTCAATGTGGTTAGACAACATAGACTACTTGGGGGAAAATCACCATGGGAAAGGAAATAGGTGAAATTTGGGTTTGGGGCTTCATTTTGTAGGTTGAGTGGAGAGTCCTGAAGTGTTTTCAGAAAAAGAAATAATAACACATTTCAGAAACTTCACAAATTAGCCAAGTGAGAAACTGGTACAGACAGGTAAGCCATGGTACAATATCCTGTGGGCAGAGTGTCATTTGCCCTCATCCAGTGGAATGGAACACTCTATAGCATGTGTATTTGGACCAGCTCAGGGGAGGGAACACAGGACACTGGACCACCTACTGCTTCTGTGCTCCTAGAGACAGATGAAGATCCTCACCAGGACAATGAATGTTAAAAAACAGTCCACATAAAACATTACTACAAGGTGAATCCACAAAAATCAGCAGCAGATTGACCCTAGGGATCTGAAAATAAAAGAAACCAAAATGTTATCTAGGTTTTTGTACCTGGCAAATTGGCAATGACATCAGCCTAGAAAGAAGGCTGAAGGAGAATGCATGAGTGGAGGGTAACTAATTTGGTTTGGGACATACTGAGTTGAAGATGCCTGCAGGACATGCAGATGGAGATGTCTACAGGCAACTGTAAATTCCAGCCTGGCACTCAGGAGAATTCACTGTGGAGCCTGAGAAATTTTATGCATTGCTTTCCCATCTCAGGAAGCCTGACAGAAAATGGGCTGAGAACCAACTCTCTTATGAAGAGAATCTTAAGCAGGATGCTATAAGAGCTCCTTTTTGTCTGAACTCCCACTCCTACGGATGAGTCAAAGGAGGTAAAAAAGTGAGAAATGAGTATGCTACTGAATCTTCCCTGGAAAAAAGGAGCTGCCCCTTTTTAAAAAAATACTGCCACCTGCTATGGTGCTTCACCCACACACATCCCACCCCCATCACCATCCTGCAATTTAAAAGTGAATTTGCCTTTCCTATGAAGTGCATTATTATTCCCTCACATGCAAGCACATCTTAGAAAATATAAGGGAGAATCTTTGATATCATCTTGAGAGCTCATTTACTTTCTATTTTAATATGCTAATTCCAATCAATCTTTGATGCATTCATGGAGTCTACTAGGTGACAGGTATACCAGGCAAAGCGCTTTGTATAGATTTTCTCAGCTTTCCACAGTTCTTTGCAATTTGGCATTATCAGTCCCATTTTACAAATGAAGAAGACGGACTGAGAGGGGCTATTGATTTAAGTATGTGCGAGCCCTCTACTTCCTTCTTCTCCTTTTGTGACATGGCCTCTTCATCATTCTGTGGTGAGCCTCAACTGATTCCATAGGAAAGCCAGATTCTTTCACATGTGAAACATTATCTCCAGGCCCAATTGGTCTCCAAATTCTACTACTTATTCCTTCATAATAACACATTGTCCATCTGATTTCCTTCTTCCTATGTATTCCTCAGAACAAGCCCAAATTATCTAAAGCTCTGATTGAAGCCATAGATTGCTCTCCTCTCCTCCACCTCTGGTCTCCTCTCATTGACCTATCTTGTGCACACACACAAATTAATTAATTAAGCCAAATTAATTTCCTTAATCAACCTTATTGAGGTAATGTGTGAGTGTCTGCAATGTACTCATTTTAAATGTAGTTTGTTTACATATGAGTATGTGTATAGGTATACACACACTGATGTAATCACTATCACAATGAAGACATAGAGCATCTCTCTGCCACCTCAAAAAATACTCTCTTGCCCCTCTCTTATAAATCCTGCAATCCCCATTCCTAGCTTCTGCTAATATAAATCTGCTAAATGTCATTAAAATTAATTCCTGTAAAATACAGTTCTTATCCTGTCACTTTCTTACTCAAACTCTTGCAGAGGCTCCTTGTTTTATGCAACACAGAGCTTTTCAACTCATTAGTGTATATGTCACATTGGGGTAAATAAAGGTCAGGGTCCACTGGCCATCCTAAGCATTGTTTGGCCACCATGATGACTTTAAGAAAGCAATAGCTCAATGCATAGGTTTAGCTGCTGCATTACAGACTTTAAAATACAACAGATTAAACAAAATAGCAGTGAATTACATTTCTAAAATGCATGTGTGAGTAGTTCAACGTATGGGAGCCTGAAGGTATTGGGGCTCACTTCCTTCTCTCTTGCTAGTCTGCTTCTGTGCTGAGGTGTTTCTCAGCTCACATGATGTCATATAGCACACTCTAGTTCTGCATTTCAGAAAGAAGGCTAGATAAAGGGGAAGGAGGCATGCCTCTTCCCTTTAAGGACATACCCACTACCACTCAGGTCACACAGCTATAACAGAGGGTTAAAAACAGTCCTTGTTTTGGACACCCGTGCATCCAGTTAAACCAGGAAATTCTATGACCACAGAATGAGGAGGAAATGAATATTAGTGTCAACTAGCAAATCTCTGCTTCTTTCCTGAGTACCTGCAGAAGAACATCTTCCATTTGAGCACTTTTTTTTTCAAAATAATCCCTTCATGCTTTCCTAGCTAGCTGGGCCAGTCATGGCCCATTCACTGTCTGCAACACCCCATATATTCTTTGCCTACTGGCTTTTCCTCAAATCATGGACCTCCTTGACATAAGATTATCTCCACAGATTGAGTTTGTACTCAACCTTTAAATCCAACTTCAGAAACTACTTTTTGCATGAAGCTTCTTCAGCTAGCCACTGCAGTCCACAGCAATCCTTCCTCCAGCATTTTTGTATTGCCACAATATCTAGTTTCTAATACTACTTTTCATTTATGTTGTTTTGTTTTGCTTGTTTGTATGCCTGATTTTTCTTGAGAATATTTTGTTGCACTAGTTTTTCCACTCAGCATTTTGCATAGGCCTAATGAGTATTTTTATGTATAGGTTGCATATTTATTCACTGTGTATGAATTAATAAATTCATGAAAAATGAACTAGTTAAATGAATCAAAAACCATTGTCCAAAATGATGCCAATAAGGAAAAAACCACTGTAAAGGAGGCCATCTATTTTTTCTTGGTTGGGATAGAAGACACTGAGTTATCATGGGCTAAGTATTCATTTAGCTACAAATGGGATATAGATTGGATCTGCAGAATACCTTTAGAGCTCAGTCAAGACTTATAAATGTCTGAATGAACTATCAAATTGTACTTGTAGTTTAATAATATAATAGTGTCTTAGATTTATAAAATGCTTTTACGCCTAACCCAGGATCCCTTAACTTTCAATATGCATTTGTTTGACTGATAAAAGCTAAGTGCATATTTCTAAGAAAATCCCTGGAGAGCAGGAGATTGGAACAGATCATTACTAATGTTGCAATTTCTAGAAAGCACTTGAAAAAAATGTGACATACCAAATGTGAAAGTGCATCAAACAGTGTTTCATTTATTCTTCTCATAATTCCAATGAGCTCAGTTTTGTAAAACAAAATACAGAGATGTTAAGGAACATGCTAAAATTACATGGCAAGTAAATTATATTGTTGGGATTTTAATTAGGTTTGCCTAAATTCAAAGTGTATGCTACTAACAAGTTTATGAGAGAGTTATTTTGCTAAAAGATATATATGTATATATA